TGGCAGGCACCTGTAGTCCCAGCTACTCAAGAGGCTGAGGCAAGAGAATCACCTAAGCCCAAGAGCTGGAGGTTGCTGTGAGCTGTGACACCACAACACTCTACCAAGGGCAACAAAATAAAACTCTGTCTCAAAAAAAAGAAAAAAAAAGAATCAACACAAATTTCTTGCTTAAATGAAAATATGTCTGAGAGGAATCATTGTGAAGCCAAAAGTTTTCAGAATCAGCTCTATTATCAAATCATTTGGGAGCTTTTATAAAACACAGACAACCCTACCCACCCAGGCTCCCTCTGTGGTGGTGTTGATTCAGGAGGTCCAGGAGGAGGCCCAGACTCCCTCACTGCTTAAAAACTTGTCTGCTGATGATAACAGGAAGTAGGGCTGAGAATCACCCAGAAAGATCTTTGCTGACGGGGGGAACTTATTGGCTGGATTGTCAGAGCCACGTTGTGGGTTTGGCTGAATTCAAGTAGAGGGTGACAGTGGCCCTCACTTCTAACACAAAGGATGGGTGATGGGGGCAGCGGGGGACACTTCTGAAACCAGCTCTGCCTCCACTACCAAGGGACCCAAGCTACAGTCATGCAGCCTGCGGCTACTGGAGTTCAGATCTGTGTTTATGTCTGTTGGACCAAAGGAAGATCACTCAGTTCATGTAAATCCAGTTTTCCGATTTGTCGAAATAAGCTAATAACTGTATCTGTCCATTATTGGATTCCTAGATGAGGAAATGAGTGTGTTCAGCTGTATGTGTTTAAAATTTACCAGAGTCTGACATAGTAGTAAACTCTCAGTGATATTAAACACTAGTAACTAGTCCTATTTGTCGTACATGTCGTGGGTTGTCACCTATTCCTAGTTCAGAACAGAGCGGAATTTCAAGAATTATTTATTTTCAGAACTACTCATCACGTGCCACATAATGAAGTTTGGGTCAATGTCGGACCACAGGTACCGTGGTGATTCTGTAGGATTACAACACCACATTTTTACTGCACCTTTTCTGCATTTAGGTGCATTTAGATGCACAGAGACTTACCCTCGTGTGACAGTTGCTCACAGGGTTCAGCATAGCAACCTGCTACTGGGTCTGCAGCCCAGGAGTGACAGGCTGTGTCGTGCAGCCTGGGTGTGTGGTAGGATCCACCCTCCAGGCTGCTGTACCTAAAGTGACACTAGCACAGTGATCAGATTGCCCAGCACTACATGGCTCAGAGCGTGTCCTGTAGAAGGTGACACCTTGTACTAGCTGAAAAGAAATGGAGGAAACCAGCTGACAGTCTCTGGGTCTACACACCTGGAGGATGCAGGTGTCAGAATTTCCTATGGCGGACTGAGCTGAGATTCTTTGAGGGCTTTTTTTGATGTTTGTTTGTTTGTTTGTTTTTGAGACAGAGTCTCACTCTGCTGACCCAGCTACAGTGTAGTGAAATCATCATAGCTCTCAGCAACCTCAAACAGTTGGGTTCAAGGGATCCTCCAGGCTGTACCTCCCAGAGTGGTGGGACTACTGCCCTGCGTCACCACACCCAGCATCTGAGGAATTCTCAATATCTGTTGAACAGAGCTTGTCTTGGCACGGGCATGACATTTAGATGTGTATTACCTTAAGGAGAAGGGAATCTCTCAGAAAGGAGTGTTTTCACATGTTTTTATTATTCCTATAGCTCTTAACATATTCCTACAGCTCTTAACTTGCTTGAGGCTTTTCTAGTTTTCATTGATTGTACTGGTTCTGGTTGATGTAATCCTTCCCTAGGTGATGGAAACTCTTCCAATGTAGGGGAATCTGTCCGTGATTCCAGTAACTTGGTCAACATTCTCATTTATAGGCTTTGATGGCACCATAGACCTCACCTTTATAGCCCTTTCCAAAATTGTAGTCTACAAATTTGTAATCAGTTCATTGATACAAACTTCCCAGAGGCAGTGTCTGGTTTTGCTCATATTTGCACAGCACAGTGCCTGGTACCTAGAGGAGGATCACAGATAATCCTTTAATAAATGAATATTAAGTTTATGAATGAACAAACTACTAAACTAGATTAAGTACATCTTTGGTGTAAAAGTATGTGCACTATATGCTAGGCTTCCTCTTGAGCAACTGAGAGAGAAAAATTAATACCATTGTTATGACTGTGTAAGAAATTCAGAGGTTTCCTGTATTCGTGGAAAGAACATGGCTGTAAAATGGCTGTGCACCCTCTACCCCAATTCCTAATTTTCCACTGTAATCCCAGACTCCCTGCAAAATCAAATAAGACTTCAAATCAAATCTAGCTCTAAATTGACAGAAAGAGGCTCTTCTTCAGTTCCATTGAGAATTAGGAGGCTCATGGTTTCTGAGTTGTCAGGGCCCCAGTCGCCGAGCAAGCTCCCCGGGGACTCCTCCTCTGCGTTTTCCACACCCATGAGCACAGGGCTCTACGGAAACAGGGCAGAGGCATGGGATAGTCTGATCAAAGGCACTGGGAAATGAAGGTGCGCAAATGGAACACGTTTGAAAGCCACTTAAGGATCTCTAGAATTTTATCTTCCGGAAAACTTGAGGTTGTTGGAGACTGAGAAAACAGTGGGAGGGAAGACGAGGCTGTATAAACCACTACCATGACCTGCAGACACAGGAGCAGCGTGTTAGAAGAACATCAGGTAGCTGGGTCAACCCGGAACAAGCAGTAGTATGTGGTGGGACAGGAAGGTGTGTGACCGCAGGACAGGGTAGGACACATCATGGAACATTTTCATTTTACTCTGCGGGTCTTGAGGGCAGAATGGGTGGGGGACGTAAGACCCATCCAGACTGTATTTGTCCCAGTGCTTTCATGCTGGGTTTCACATCCTGAGTCAAAACCACATGGGCTTTTCACGTCCATTAGCACGGCTCCCATCAAAAAACAAAACAGCATGTTGTGACTACACTATGGAGAAATAGGAAACCCCATGCATTGTTGGTGAGAAGTAAAATGGGGTAACTACTAAGGAAAAGAGTATGGAGGTCCCTGAAAACTTAAAAATAGTGAGGACCTGAAAGGAGCAAGATGGCGGGCAAGAGACATCTCCTTACCAGCCACTCAGGTCAGACAGGGGACAGAAGAGGATGCCATAAACATAGGCAATTATTACTTATCCATGTCACAGAACAGTTAAAAATAATATATGGAAACATGATGTTGACAATATTCTCTTCAAAGGAAACAATTCATTTTATGAAAGTGAACCCATGAATGGGTTGTTATTTATAGATGTTTATTCACCTATCAGGGAAAGCTAAAATAA